GGACTGGTCCGCCAGGCTTCTTTGTCAGCACGTAGGCTCTGCTTTAGTTCACGCCTAATAGTCCACTTGGTCACATTGTGTTCAGGGCCAGCCAATAGGTGTCTCCTAGATTCCAACGGGTTCACCGACCTCTCGGATATCCAGTGGCTGGTGCGGTGACGATGGATAGTGCCACAAGCAGACGCTCCTGCGTCGTTAATGGCGGCCGATATCCTATTCCACTGGAGCTCAGTGTCATTAGGACAAGACAGCGGAAGTTCGGCATGCAGTGCTTCTTGATGGGCTTGCATGACCGAGGACTGAGACACTTGCTCCGTTACAAATCGTAGGGGACGCTTGGTGCGAATCCCGGTAAAGTTCATGGAGAAACGGCAACGTACCAAAGCATGATCAGGGTCGACACAGGTATTCCAGTGCGAGCGGCAATCCAGGATGGAACCACGCCACCTGTAACTTATGGATATGTGGTCAATTTGAGTCCATTGCTGGCCAGCTACAGGTGGACGCCAAGTGGCACTTCGGCGCCCACTTTGTCTAAAAGCAGTGCTAGTAAGTAACAACTGGTGATCCCCACGCAGTTGCAGCAGTCCCTCCCGTTGTCAATCCGTTCGGAGCTAAGCCCATAATTACCACCCAGCTGAGCTTCTGAAGAGGTCAGACGCCTTACTTGTGCGTGCATATTCTCTGCAAGTACTATAATACCTTAACTAGTGGCACTGCTTAGTAGGACGTTCAGTTCGTGATGGAAGGTGTGGTTCACAACATTAGAATTACAATCGGTGGGAGCACAAGCAGAAAGCACAAACAAACAAAGCGTTTTGTACTGCTTCATGAATCAACCTTAGCTGATGTCGTCAAACGGACTGCACACAAACGACTGTTCAGAGGAATCTAATCGACCAACGATGGTTCAGCCTTAGAGCTGAGATTGAAATCTACATCAGATTGACCCGTGATTTGGCCTCGGCCGGTTGTTTTCGACTACGTGGTTGGGGTCTGAGAGATGAGGATAATTGCTGGTTGAGGACCAGAGAAGTTATGGCTCAAGATCGAAGTCAATGGCGGACGTGTGCATCGGTTTGTTGCGGTGTCCCTTCTTCCTCGCCCTAACAAAGAAACAAATTGAAAAATTTTCATAAACTGTGAGTGCTAAAATAGCCAAAAAAGAGCATTTGTCGTTGATCTTTTTATATTATTCATATTGTTTTCCTACTGCTCTGTGAGTACTACGCGGTAACTCGATTTTTTGGCGTGCCATACTGATCGAGCTTTTCAGCTGAAATAACGTGGAAAACAGTGTTTGAATAAACACTTGAAACGAAATTTGACTATTGTCAAATTTTCTCTGATCCAAGATATCTTGGATCGATTAAATTGGTACTGGCCAAAGCGTCTTTGGCGCTTACTGGTAATTTTTCCGGTTGTTCCCAGTTTTAATCCCGTTTTACACCCTGTTTTTGCCTTTTTATTGCGGTCGTTTTCCTATTGTATACGTGTTGTAATTCTAATCTGTTTTCCACATGAACATGGCTGTCTCGCTAAACACCGAGACGGATGGACCTATGGGGTCCTCGTTTGATGAGTCTACTGCAGCTTGCGGACAGGTTAACTGTTCAGAGCCAGTAACAGATGCATCTGGTGGTATGCAGTGTGACGTCTGCTGCCGCTGGTATCACGAAAGCTGTACCGGCCTACAAGCTGACCAGTACAAAATGCTATCATCAAGCGTCCACTTTCTTTTCAGCTGCGCTGAATGCTGCGCTAAAAGATCGACGCGCCCGGCTGTCACCGGTGCTAAACTTTCAGCGTTGGCTTCAAGGTTGGCAGATGTTGAGTTGGCGATAGCTAAACTCGCCTCTATTGCGTCGCTCGATACGAAAATGGATTTGATTTTAAAATCCCTAAATATTTCGTTTGAAGACACAGCAATAGCCGGCAACATTGCTGACGATCCATCCACTGGAGTCTGTCACTCGGTCATAAAGTCGCACATCCTACCGGCCAATCCAGGTAGCATTGCTGGCGGTCCTCATGATCCGATCAAAGTGAAGAAAAATAGGGTGCGGAAATACCAAAAGCCCTCTGCTAAACCCAGAGAAATAGTTGCCACGGCATCGAAAGAGATGCCGTCTTTGACAGTCATAAAGTCGTCTGACGATTGCACACAGAACTTTCCACAGACGCTGACTGTCTCGGCCGCCAGTGAACCAGCCTGTTCTGACGAAATGCTGGTAACTGCTCAATGCGATACAAAGTCAACGGCCCCTGCTCCAGTGAGCCAAAAGAAGAAGCGGACAAGATCTGCTCGTAAAACTTCGAAGGGGCTTGAAGACCCAGGAACCAGTAAGACGCCGGCAATAGAGCGGAAAACCTACGCTACCGTTGCTTCGGCGTCGTTTGGGAAGCCAGGGACAGTCCCACCGCCAGTGGTGAAAACAGCTGGTATAGGTGTCGACTCCAAGGCACGTGGGGTAAACACTCCCCGTCGTGCCGACTCTTTCACGGATAGTAGCGTTATATTCCGTAACGTTACTGAATCTGAGGCCGTTCTCCCAAGGGAACGCATCTTGGATGACATCAAGTGGCTGAAACTGTGTGTCAGCAAGCTGCTTCCACCTGGTTTCCCTGGTGTCACTGTCAGAAAGCTGACCAGATTGGGGAACGTTCCTATCGCTACGCCAAATCCACGACCCCGACTACTTCGCGTAGTCCTTTCTACCCCGGAGGAACGCAAATCGTTACTGCGATTTGCATTCAAACTTAAGGGTAGTGGTGTCAGCGTTCAGCCGGACCTACCACTGGCAGATAGGTTGAAGTTAAAGGAGGCTATCAAAGACCTCAAAACTAGACGGGCGGCTGGTGAGCAAGGCCTCCGTCTGGTGGGTTTTCAGGTGGTCAGCCGGAAGTTACTTTCCGCCCTATCAGAACCAATCCTGATGGCGCACGACCCAGGGATGGTCGTGCCGACTTCCTTGAGGTAGTACTTAGCAACGTGCGTAGCCTAAGGAACAAGGTGCACGAGTTGGGTCTACTTGTAGACAAATCTCGTCCCGACATACTTGCTTTCACTGAGACGTGGTTGTCTCCGGATATCACGGACGGTGAGGTATATTTACCTGGCTACGCGCTGCTTAGAACTGATCGCTCCGTTGGTCGCCAAGGCGGAGGCGTTGTACTGTATGTGAGCTGTAACTTAGATGTGTTGAGGACTTGCACATTCCAGTCGTCGGATCAGACTGTTGAAGCCCTATCGGCTGTTTTGTGCACTTCCTCTACCCAGTTTACAGTTATAGTGATATACAGAAGTCCTGGAAGTTCCTCCAGGGGGATACTTGACTTTATTCGCACTCAGTCTGCGAATAAGTGTTTAGTTCTAGGGGATTTCAACCTCCCGGAAGTCTGTTGGGCCGATCTTTCTTGCAATTCGGCATTAGGAACATTCGGTGCAGACTTCCTTGAACTGACTCTCCAAGTGCCTTTGCACCAGTTCGTTGACTTTCCCACTAGGTATATGGACAACCAAATACCATCTACTTTGGATTTGGTTTTCGCTAAGTCCCTGGACTTCGTGACTGACGTTTCATGCGGTGCACCTCTAGGGTCCAGCGATCACGCATGCATATCCTTTCGATGTGCTCTTTCAAGGCACCAAGAGACCGCTGTTGAATTACTTCCGAATATTTGGCGGGCGGACTTTAGTGCAATGCGAACTAAGGCTTCAGTTCTGAACTGTGAGATCTCGATGGCTGACTCTGTCCAGTTAGCCTGGGATAAATTTAAGGCATACCTTACGGAGGTTTCCGCTCCCTATATTCCACTCATTAGGAAAAGAGGGTTAAGGGCACAGCCTCCATGGATAGATACCACAGGCAAGTACCTACTCAAGAAACGGTCTAGATGCTGGCGAACCTACCAAGCAGCTCCATCAGCCAGTACCTATGATAGTTATCGAGAGAATAGAAATAAATGTAAGCAACATCTCAGAACTGCTCGTCTCCAATACGAGCAGGGTTTAGCGGACTCGGCCGCAGCTAATCCCAAGAAGTTTTTGCTTACGTTAAAAGACGCAGCGGGGCAAAACTGTCTATACCAGCTTTATTGCGAGCAGACGGGACCCGTGCGCAAACTGACTATGACAAGGCTTGTATACTGAGTGATCAGTATACTGCGGTCTTTGCTCGGGAGACCTCTTTACCACAGGTTGAATTGGTTTCAAGAGTTCCAGAGGATTCTTGCTTAGCTGAATTTAGCATAACGGAGACTCAGGTCTTCGAGCTACTGCAAGGCATTAATCCCTCTAAAGCTTCCGGTCCTGATTCAATTCATCCGAAGCTGTTGCATGAACTGGCCACTGAGCTGAGTGGTCCGCTCACGTGCGTATTTTCAATATCGCTGGACAGCTGCAGCCTACCTTCGGAATGGAAGGAGGCAATCATCTGTCCGATTTTTAAGGGCGGTGACAGCGCTCTACCCGCGAACTACCGGCCTGTCAGTTTGACAAGCGTAGTAGTCAAGTTGTTCGAGAAGCTGATAAGGGATTCAGTGGAGAACCACCTGAATCGATTCAACCTTCTCAGTGTTGCACAACATGGATTCCGCAAAGGATTTTCATGTCAGACTAATTTACTTGTAGCTCGTGAAAGCTGGGCCGAAGCGGTAGACAGTGGCCACGCTGTAGACGTGCTATTCGTAGATTTTTCGAAAGCTTTTGACACTGTTCCACATCTTCGGCTCTCACTAAAGTTGAGATCTTACGGGATATCTGGTCGCGCCCTTCAATGGGTGTCTGCCTTCCTTGAGGGGAGGGAACAGTGCGTACGGGTGGGGCGTAGCCTTTCGCTCAGGCAAGCTGTCCTTAGTGGCGTTCCGCAGGGCTCGGTATTGGGGCCATTGTTGTTCGCGATCTATGTAAATGACTTGCCGGGAGAGCTAGGGGTGTCATCATTAATGTTTGCTGACGACCTTAAGCTCTGGAATATTGTGGATATCCCGGGGGTCCTGAGGCAATTCAGCGTGCCTTGGATAGGCTCTGGGAATGGTCTATCTTATGGTTGATGCCCATAAATAGGGCGAAGTGCTCTGTTCTCCGAATCGGAGCTGCTAATCCTCCCACCCGATATGTTGTCGGCGGTGGTGAACTCCCTGTTGTCACTCAGCAGGTTGATTTAGGAGTCGTACACGCATCAGCACTTCATTCTGGAGACAACTGGAAGAAGGCTGCTTGTCGAGGGTTTCGTATGATGTGGTTTATCCGCCGCTCTTTCGGAATCTTAACGGCCAAGTTGTTTGTGAAGCTATTTTCGGCATTCGTCCGACCCCACCTGGAATATTGTATTCAGGCTTGTCCACCATGTCTTAACCGAGACAAAATGGACTTGGAGAGGGTGTTACGAGTGGGCACTCGGTTAGTGCAGGGTCTACGGGGACAGACGTATCCTGAACGCTTGCTCAGTTTGGGTATGTACTCCATGCACTACCGAAGGATAAGAGGGGACCTGATTCTCACTTATCGTATTTTGACGGGTAAGATTGGCCCGGACTTGTCAGGGCTTTTTAGTCCCGCTACGTTACCTAGTCTCCGCGGTCACCCACTGAAACTGCATAAACCACGGTCTGATAGGATTAGGACGGAAACTCGTCTATCGCGCCGAGTTATAGATCGCTGGAATTCGCTTCCAGATCACGTGGTTAGGGAACCTACGGTTAAGGGTTTTGCGCGCCAGCTCGATGCTCTTGGGTGGCAACAGCAAACCTTTCCTTTTTCCTAGCTGACTCACCTTCACTTTTCAGTTCTTTTTTTATTGACTCAAATATCTTGGTATTCCACTTGCTTAGCTCTTACCACTTTCTCTTTTGCCTTCTGCGTTTACTTTTTTCTCTTCTTACTTCACGTAACCGACCCAGCAGGGACTGCTAGGGCAGGATACGTGGGCATTAATTGGTTGGACAGGGTGTGATGCGGTCTTTGTTTAGGTCCATCAGTATTTCAAAGTTCGCCAACTCCTGGTTCAACGACCCGCCGAAGAAGGAACACTCACGGGATCATCCTATCGTTCCAGTCCCGCTTGAACTTGAACTTGAACTTGAAGGTCAACTGGTAAAATTAGGGCAGCGCTGTTCATTGAGTTCATTGAGTTGTAGAGAGCAGGAGGGAAATCCCTTGTCAGCCCCATCGATTCCGTGTCATACTGGGTTTGATGCGTGTCGTTGCGTTACGACGTTCCTCGAGGGTTCGTCGTAATTGCAGTGACAGCCGCAAGATTCCAGCATTTTCAGCGAATGTTTGTCTAGCAGCCGCTTGAAACTTTCCTCGGATGGAGCGTCTGCAATTGCTTCCGGTAAGCTGTTCCAGTCATTCACCACTCTAGTGGATAGGGTGATGTCCTTGCGAATTTTGTGTCTTCTTTGCTTAAACAGCTTCCATGTGTGCCCTCGGGTGGAACAGTCAGTGTTGGGCCGGAAGAATTGTTGTAACTCACTTTCAAGTTCCCCTCGGAGGATGCGTCTAGTGTAGATGAGGTCACCCCGGCGACGGCGGAGCTCGAGGGAGAACAGATTTAGCTGCTGGAGTCGAATGGGGTACGGGAGATCACGTAGCCCCAGAACAGCTTTTGATGCACGTCTCTGAACCTTTTCCAGCAGAGCGCTTTCAAACTTTGAAAGCGGATGGCTAGCTGGTAGGCCATATTCTAAGACTGGACGGACGTACGAAGTGAACAACGGTCGAAAAATCTCGGGAGTCATTCGAGCGAATGATCTTCTTAAGGCACCTACCAGTCTCCTTCCAGTGGCCACCTTCTTTAACGTGTCCTGCGTCGTTCTAAGGTCAGAAGTCACGATAACCCCGAGATCTCTCTCGTGGGTGGTATTCCTAAGGAGAAACCCACCAATGTGGTATGCACCGTAGGGTTCGGTGCCACCCATTGGGAGAACAGCGCATTTATCTCGGTTTACTGGCAGTTCCCACCTGATGGACCATTCGTGTAGCTGGTCTAGAGCCCCTTGTAATCTGTCCGCATCCTCAATGCTGGATACTGTTGACCAAAGCTTGAGGTCATCGGCGTAGATCAAGCAGTCGGTTTGTAGCGCAGTCGGTAGATCGTTAATGTATAGTTTGAAGAGCTCTGGTCCAAGCACTGATCCTTGGGGAATGCCACTAGTCATAGGCACTGGAGCAGAGAGGGTTTGGTTCACTTGTACGCGCATTGTCCTACCCCTTAAGAAATCGGCAATCCAGGAGAGAAGATTTCCCGTAATGCCAATTCCCTGGAGTTTATGTAGCAGTCGTACGTGTGGAACCTTATCAAAGGCTTTGCTAAAGTCAATGAATATTACGTCAACCTGTTTTCGGGTATCTATGGCTTCTGCCCATGTTTCCCTGGCGATGAGTAAGTTAGTGATGCATGAGCGTGCTCTCCGGAAGCCATGTTGAGCAGGTGAGATGAGGTTTAGATGCACACAGTGTAGCTGGAGAGCGCACTTGACTATTCGTTCCATGGTTTTGCATACGACTGATGTCAGACATATTGGCCGGTAGTTGGCTGGGTCTTGTTTGTTTCCCCCCTTGTATTTGGGCAGGACGGTGCCTGCTTTCCAGCCTGTGGGTAGGCAGCCGACTTCGAGGGATTGCCGAAACACTTGGCAGAGAGGGACGGCGACGTACTCAGCTATCGTTCTGAGGAAGCTGGGATGCAATCCGTCCGGGCCTGGGGAGGAGTTCGGGTCCAGTTCGAGGAGTAGCTTAGTGACTACTTCGGGGTTAATTTCAACTTGGTCCATAGAGGAGTGGTGTGCAGGCAAACAGTTGTTGAGCAGTGGTGACTCCACTGAGTAGACCGAGGAATATTGCGCAGCCAATAGGTTTGCTTTTTCATCATCACCGTAGAGAACGGTACCTTCCTTAAAAGAGGATAGAGCGGGGATTCCACTACCAGTTTTGGCATTTCGCTTCAAGTAGGCAAAAAGTTTCTTGGGACAGTTTTGGGATTCCATGGCCAGTCTATGTTCATATTGTAGTCTTTTGTCTCGTTTTCTCAGGGTGCATAGGTTTCTGACAGTTTTGTACTCTAAGTAGCTTGATGTCTGTCCTGTGCTCTTGAAATGATCCCATAGTTTTCGACGTTTTTTCATTAGGGATCTTACTTCTTTATCAATCCATGGGGTCCTTTGGATGGTGGTCTGCTCTTGCAGTTTGGAACAAACTGTTCAATGAGCCGCATCATCATAGATCGTAGGCGTTCCCATGCGTCATCAAGCTCCAAGGATTGCGGAATACTCCAGTCCATGTTACTTGCAGTCGTTCTTAATCTGGGCTGGTCAGTACGCCAGAAATTTCGACGCAGTGTCCCCTGATCGTGGATTGTGAGGCGTCGTGTCCACGAAAAGGAGACTGTACAGTGATCACTCGTCCCAAGAGGTTGGAGGATCGTTAGATCTGAGACATCAGATGGTGCCGAGGTGAGAACCAGGTCGAGAATGTTTGGTGTCTGACCAGGGACCATTCGCGTTGGTGTCAAGACATGCTGTGTCAGGTTGCACTCGTGAACGGTATCAAGGAGATCAACTTCAAAGGAGTCAGTTGAGAGATCACTGTGAAGTAGGTCCCAGATTACGTTGGGGGCGTTGAAGTCCCCCATAAGGAGACAATTTGTTCCTCTGCTGTTGGTTCGCACGGAACGTAATAAGTGTGAGCCAGGTGCTGCAGGGGCTCTGTAGACCACCCCGACCATCAGCGATTGGTATCCGTCATGAATTCGGCACCAGAGCATTTCCGACATATCATCCTTGTCACAATCGGGTTCGACAATGTGGGCCTTGAGGTAGTTCTTTGTGTAGAGGATTACTCCGCCTCCAGACCTCCCACCAAAGCGATCGCATCGAAGTAGCTGATATCCTGAAACATGAACCTCCGAGTCAGATATGTCAGATGAAAGCCAGGTTTCGGTGAACGCCATTAGGTCCGGTTGCTGTTCAGAGATAAGGAGTGGAATCTCATCTAGCTTGTTTCTGAGACTGCGCACATTCGCGAGTATTACCCGTAGTCCGTTCTTTATGTTTGAGGTCCTGGAAGAAGGAGGATTGGCCTCCATCGAGCTCTCTGAGTTTTCTTGACTACGCGAAAATCCACTATGTGTAGATCTGTTTCTCCATTTGCGCGTCGAGTTCGCAGCTCGCAGACAGCTTGCCTCATGCGGACTCGGTCCTCCGGGGAGAGGTCTTTCAGAACGTAGAAGGTTTCTCCCTTGAGGCGCGGGGTCCGTCTCAGGATGCGTTGGCATTCTTCTTCATCCTGACAGACGATTTTCAGAGGACGAAACTTGGCTGGGTCCTCTTGTTTTCTGCCAAGGCGAAAAGCAGAGATTAGGTTTATTCCTTGCTCATGCTCATCAAACAACATGG